AGCCATTATTGTTGTTTGGTGGGTCCGGGCTGGATTCGAACCCGCCACCTTAGGTGTATGTGGCTGGCATCTTAGCTGCTTGAGCCACAGGCGCCGAGCCATAATATTTATTTTTTTGTGAGTTTAAGAGTATTTAAATTATATATTGAGCCCTCCTTTAAGAAACAAATTTATGTTTTCATTCAGTCCGAACATCAGCATATCAGAAATATCCTGTTGTGTGATAAAAAGCCTTGATTTAACGCAGAGTATTTTATATTGTAGTGATTTTAATGAAAATTCTTTTCATTAAAACCAACATAAACTGGCTGGAGGTGAGGGCTCATGACTCTAATCCTAGTACTCTGGGAGGCTGAGGCGGCAGGATCCCTTGAGCTCAGGCAGTTGAGACCAGCCCTGAGCAAGAGTAAAACCCCATCTCTACTAAAAATTGAAAAATTATCAGGGTGTTGTGGTAGGTGCTTGTCATCCTAGCTACTCAGGAGGCTGAGACAAGAGCATCCCTTGAACTCGGGGGTTTGAGGTTGCTGTGAGATAGGCTGATGCCATGGTACTTCAGCCTGGGCAACAGAGTGAGACTGTCTCGAAGAAACAAAACAAAACAAACACAAAAACCCCCCAGCTCCAACATGAATCATTTCCTTTAAAAAGAAATCTTTCAAAATAAAGAGGAAAAACTCAAACCAGAAACAAACTTCCATAAATCTTTAAAAGTAAAAGGCAATCATGGGGAAAATAGGGGACACAAAAAGAAAACAAAAAATGGAAAAACTGGTGGATTTAAGTTTTGTTCTTTAGTTAATATTGTGCTGGGGTTAACTTCTTACTTTGGATACACATTCTACTAAAATTATGCAAGATGTTAACACAGAGGAAACAATAATGGCTATGCAAGAACTCTGTATGTTTTTCAAACTCTTCTGTAAATGTAAAATCACCAGGAAAAAAAAATTATAGAAAAAACATCCCCTAATTACTCCAAAACAAGCCTTCAGCTGCCAAAATTTCCTTCTAGATTCAATTTTTAAAAACATAATTAGAAATCAGTAGTATGTTTACTTGACATTATAGTCAATTTATTGCTCTAGAAAGTTAGTTTAAACCATCAGATTACACGTATAGTGATAAGGAGGCTCACCAGACAGACACAAAACCAACTGCAGGTTATGAGGCTGCTTCTCCAACTTAGTGGATAAATAGTACAAAAATATAAAAATAGGCGGTTCTAGCTGAGCTATCAAGTAGAATTTTTCTTGTAATCTACCTTAAGTATATAATTTTTCTAAAGATTAAGAAATTGAACAGAAAGAAAACTGATGTTACTGGTAAGTTACTAATAAACGTATCTGAGAAATCCAAATTACATGCAGACAGAGGAAAATTGGTTACAAAACCACTGTTACTCAGTACTACAACTGTGCAATGTTTTACACATTCCCAATCGTGCAAAAGTCATGAGGATCAGCATGAATTCCATGAAAGAATTTATGGGAGCTCAATGAACAGAACACATTATACAACCCAAATCACAGTTGCATAATATATTGAATTCCCCCAAATTTTCTATTACAAGACTGAAATGCCATTATTCCCCCACCCCACAGGTCCTCCCCCAGTCCATTCCCAGTCAATCAGCTCACCTATCAACCCTTCCATTCAACCTGTCAATCAGATTTGATATGTAAATATGTAATCTACAGGAGGCTTCTCATTAGTACTTCAGAACAGACACGAGTATAGTCAAATGATCAATCTTCAGTTACATTCTTTTCAAAAGGCATCTAAACTGCTACAACCGTCTATAAAACTTCAAGCCTAAGAAACAGAAAATTTCCCGTCAGGAATCTGAACTAGGTAATTCTATGAATTATAATAATACTAATAACCTATGTGTCCATATTGTAAGAGAAGGACTTCCTATTTGAGAAATGTTACTCAGCGGGTCTATGAAAGGAAATCTGTGTTACTGCTTTCTATTGTAAAATGGTTAGGTGACCCAAGTATTTATTTATCCAATTGGATAAAAGGCTTACAAATTGAGTCTTTTAAAAAATACTCAAAGCCACAGCAGGAATCATAGAAATAAAATTGTAGGTCAGAGCATAAGGTACATACAGAATTCAGCAGCACAAAGTCAATTCAGCAACAACTGAAAGTTAAATACAGTGAGAAGTGCTTCTGTTAAAATTATGAACCAAAATTACTAAATGGAAGAATACTGTCTCAAAATCTACCAAATTGTCATGTTAATATTACCTTAACTCATGCCAAATTCAGGTTACTAACTATACTGAAACAAAATTTAGAGTTATTTTTACCAGAGAAATAAATGTATTTCATGATGTAGGCACAACAGTATCTAAAAAAGAAAACTGGTAATTTTTATCACGAGATACAAACTTCCTTGACCATTAGCAACACAGCATAGAAAAATTTACTCAAAACTTTTTAAGCTTGATTTAACATGCTAGGAAAATGATTATTTTTCCATTGAGATGCATTTACGTAAATTATGTAAATTGGATTGAGGTCAGTGTAACACCTGGAATTACAACCCCTAGCAGAAGTACCAGCTGCTAATAATGCTTGTATTGTATGTACAGCTCGACTGCATGGTAAACTATGCAACTGTCGGTGCCAGTCTGCTTATAAAGGCAATGCTCTGGAGACAAAGTCTTCTCACAAACAGAGGGCAGGCAGGTTTCATTATAATGTGTTCAACGACAATCCTCAGTTCATTAAACAGAGTCCTGCAAAATAAAACAGTTTTCTTTCAGAAATACAAGGAAAAAGCAACATATAGGCAGACCTTGTTTCACAGCACCTCCCTTTACTGCACGCCACAGATATCACATTTTTTTTTTAACAAATTGAAGGTTTGTGGCAATGCGGAGTAAAGCAAGACTACATAAGCCCATCTTTCCAATGGACCCTGCTCATTTCAGGTCTCTCTGTCACGTTTTGGGGGGTTCTGGGGGGTTATCTTGCAATGCTTCAAACGTGTTCATTATTACTGTAACTGTTAGGGTGATCTGTGATTAGTGATCTTTGACCGAGTATGGGAACTATTTCGGGACACCACAAACTGTGTCATGAAGACGATGAGCTGAATCAATATGTGTTGTGGGCTCGGCGCCTGTGGCTCAAGCAGCTGGGGCGCCAGCCACATACACCTAGGGTGGCGGTTCGAATCCAGCCTGGGCCTGCCAAACAACAATGATGGCTGCAACCAAAAAATAGCCAGGTGTTGTGGTGGGCGCCTGTGGTCCCAGCTGCTTAGGAGGCTGAGGCAGGAGACTCGCTTGAGCCCAGGAGTTGGAGGTTGCTGTGAGCTGAGATGCCATGGCACTCTGCCCAGGGGGAGAGCTTGAGGCTCTGTCTCAAAAAAAAAAAAAAGTGTTGTGTGTGTTCCGGCTGCTCCAAGAGACTGTTTTCTGTCTCTCTCTCTTCTCCTCAGACCTCTCTATTTTGTGAGATACAACTATATTGAGATCGTGCAAATTAAAAACCTGCCCATGGCCTCTAAGTGTTCATGCGAAAGGGGAAGAGTCATATACCTCTCACTTTAAATCAAAACCTAGAGATGATTAAGCTAAGTGAACAAAGTATCCCTACAGCTGAGACAGGCCGAAAGCCAGGCCTCTTGTGAATGTGAAGGAAAAGTTCACGAAGGAAATTAAAAATGCCACGCCACTGAACATGTGGGTAAGAAATCAGAAAAGCCTTGTTGATTACATGGAGAAAGTTTTGGTGGACTCTATAAATAAGGATCAAACCAGCCACAATGTTCCCGTTTTCTGACACAATGCTTTTGCACAGAACAGACCATGGTATGGTGTGAATATAACTTTTATATGTTCTGGGAAACCAAGACATTCACAGGACTTGCTTTACTGTAATATTAACTTGATTGTGTGGTCTGGAAATGAACCCACAGTACCTCTGAGGTGTGCAAATGCTGATGAAGGAATTTACCACAGCCATTAGCGAATTTGAGAAAGTAAAAGAAATAACTAGAATGCACTGCACGGACACACGAAATACACAACGAAATTCTCAAACCCAACACCTCTGTCTCTTTTTGAGTGGAAACATTCGTCTAACAAGGCATTTAATAAAGGCTACCTCTGACGACTGTGGTTAGGGATTATCTTTTTTTTTGCTTATAGTAGAATCACATCACATTTAACTCTAGAAAATTAAAATAGTTTTTAAAAAGAGAACATGAAGAAGTATACAACATGGTCAACCCCACCATTTCCCTAAATGAACAGATCTCTCAGAGATTTCCTCATGTGTAAAATAACAACACATACTTCATAGAATTGTGGTGAATTTTGTTGTTATTATCTTATTTTTTTAGGGACAGGGTCTTACTCTGTTGCCTAGGCTGGAGTGCAATGGTACAGTCATAGCTTACTAATACCTTGAACTCTTGGGGTCAAGCCATCCTCCTGCCTCAGCCTCCCACGTAGCTAAGACAGATGCACCTCACCCTGCCCAACGGATTAAAAAATTTTTTTAAATAGCTGGTATCCCGCTGTGTTGCCCACATTGGTGGTACTGAACTCCGGGCCTCAAGCAATCCTGCGGGCTTGGCCTCCCAAGTGGGGCATGGCACCCAAGCCTCAGTTGTGGTGAAGTTTAAGTGAGAGAATACAGAAGATGCTCCATAAAAGTTACCTCTTAGGTCATTCTACTATTTAAAATGACTCTTTTTTGCCTTCAGACTAAAGCCCAACTCCTCAAGCTAACATCGACTGCCTTCCACAATCTGGTCTCAATCTAGTGTTCTGTCCATCTCCTGTGCTCCCTGCCATAACTCCTGTCACTGAATTATGTTGCATGTTTGCACACAAAACAGTTTATGGACTTTCCCTTTGCCTAAACTGTGCTTGTTGTCTACAAGGTACTCTTCATTACATACTACACACATCACGTATACACACAGGCTAGTATACACAAAATCACATATATGTACTGCTATTTCTAAGTGATTTTAGGAATCACTAAGAGTGAGTGTAATTTTAACTATTCACTCTTTTCATCTATGTGCTGATTCAACCTGCATAAAGATGTGGTAACTCCTACTCTATCTTTCTGTATCTTGTTTTAGGTTTATAGTTAGAAAAGAAATGTACTTTTAAAAAAGTCTTTAATATGCTCTCACACAAAGACAGGAATGATATCTGGAAAAACGAGCACTTGCCCTAGTATCCTATGTACTAAGTATCTTTCAGATTTGTTCCCTTTTTCCTTAAGTATTGGATTAGTTCAGGCTCTAGACTACTCTGTCTCCAAACCAAGGTCATCTTTTTCTCCTTTTAGTGAGCCTGCAATTATTTCTCAAATTTCATTACGGGGGTTTCCAACCCCTCCAATGTTACAATCTCCCTACCTCAAAATAAAATCCACGTCCTTTCTACTATCCACCTTTCTGGGCACAGGTCATTACCATTTCTTGGTATACTCCCTGAGCTCAAGTAACAGTTAACGCGAGTGGTGTGCTGAGCACTTTCAGGCACCCAGGGGCCAGAACTCAGACTCAGTCTTTAAAAGGAATGAAACCTCAGGAGGTCAATAACTTATCTAAAGTCAAATGGCTATTTCTTTTTTTTTTGAGAGAGAGAGTTTCACTTTGTCGCCTTTGGTAGAGTGCTGTGGTATCACAGCTCACAGCAACCTCAAACTCTTGGGCTCAAGCGATCCTCTTGCCTCAGGCTCCCAAGTAGCTGGGACTATAGGGACCTGCCAGAACGCCTTATTTTTAGAGATGAGGTTTCGCTCTAAACTGGCTCAGGCTGGTCTCGAACCCATGAGCTCAAGCAATCCACCCGCCTTGGCCTCCCAGAGTGCTAGGATTATAAGTATGAGCCACTGTACCAGGGCTGGCTATTTCTTTTATTACTGGCTCTATCACTGGCACAGACCAAGTCACAGAGCCAGGCTGATAATAGAACTTTCAGCCTGAAAGCGACATTTATCAGAATGCTGTGTATCTGTGCTGTCCAACACAACTGCCACCAACAGCACATGGCTTCTGACCACTCCAACTGCAGTTAGTCTCAAGAACTGAGGTTTAAATTTTACAAATTTTAATTAATTTAAATGGTTAGATGTGGCCAGTGTGCTGTATTGGACAACAAAGCTATAAACTATCTGCTCTAGACATCTACTAAGGACTGATAGCACCAACCTGAGAATACATATCATAGTAAGCAAAATGGTACAAAACCATTAAACAAAAAAAAGCGTAGTGTAGAAAATGTAGTTTTATAGACTGTTTCTCATTAGGTATAAGTTCAAATATTTTCTATTTCCTTTCCACTGCTTTGATGAAAGATCTTGAAGTTGCTTAGTGCGTATTTGTATTATTTTGATTTACTACTACCCTTTCTTTTTCTTTTTTTTTTTTGAGACAGAGCCTCAAGCTATTGCCCTGGGTAGCGTGCTATGGCATCACAGCTCACAGCAACCTCCAACTCCTGGGCTCAAGCGAGTCTCCTGCCTCCACCTCCCAAGTAGCTGGGACTACAGGCGCCCGCCACAACGTCCGACTATTTTTTGGTTGCAGCCATCACTGTTGTTTGGCTGGCCCGGGCTGGATTTGAACCCGCCAGTTCAGGTGTACGTGGCTGACGCCTTAGCCACTTGAGCCACAGGCACCGAGCCTACCCTTTCTTTTTCAGTGTACTGAAAACTAAACTTCTAGACATACCAGTATGATTTCCAGCTATATGGAGAAAAAGGAAGTGGAGAAGGAAATATATAGCAGCACAGAAAAATAAATTTGCTGATGAAAAAATGGATGTCAGGATGGGGTTCAAGAAGATAATGTCTGAAATTAATATGGAGACCAAGAAGAAAAAAGGCAAAATACCATGGAATCAAGCAAAAATGAATATTACTTTGCTACTAGAGACTGGCTGTATTTCAGGCAGCATCACATAAAGACACTGTCTAAAGGATACAAAAATGTCCTAAAGGAGAATCAGATCATAGAATATGGAGAATAAACTACTGACAACTTCAGAGAGTCTAATTACTTTAAACACAACTTCACTTCACCTCCAGGAGGTTACCTCCTCTACCAATGAAGAAATTAAAATTTTAAATAACTTGCCTAAAGTCAAATCTCTGGTTAATAATAGGTCAGCATTCAGATTCAGTTATTTTTACTATACTTGTGAAAATATACAGATCATTTTAATATACTCACTGTATTTCTGGCTGAATTCTACTATTAAAATAGAAAATAAAAACTATGTCAACACAGTACCTGAATAACATTCAAAACACTGCTAAAACAGCTATTCATTTTAGCTTTTCCTCTAGTATTTGAGATTAGAATGCATAATTTAATATATATTAATTTAAGCCTCCATTCCTAAAAACTATAGTAATTTCCTAAGATATTTCTCTGCTTCCCCATTTTTCTGCTCCAAAGTATTCTACACAGGCTATCAGAAGAGTGACCATGTCAAAACTATCATGGCCCAGATACTTAATAGTTAAACTCCAAACCTCCTACCCTTCTTACTCAAGAAGCTTTATTATATAGCCCAATATAGCTTTCTAATCTCAGCTCCAGATCATCATTCATCATCCTTAGTAGAGTCAAGTAGGTCTATCAGTGTCCCTCAAGTAAGGCTTGTACCTTCTTCCCTGTGAACTCCTCTTGTGCCTACCGTCTCCCTATCTAAAATGTTCTCCCTACTATTGCTGTCTATTCAAAGACTTTACCCTTTCCAGAGCAAATTTAAATCTATTTTGTGAAAACTCCCTGAGCAAATCTATCTTCTAGCCCAGTGACTTCTCCCTTCCGAGGACTACAGTATTGATACAATAAAGTAAACACGGTAATTTCTTATGTACTGGCTTCTGAATACTGTATCCTAAACTATTGTTCCTTTATTTTATTATTTGACATGTGTTTTTGTTTCTTCAACTAGGAGAGCTCCTAGAAAGTGAAACTTATGTTATATGTATTTTTAAATTCCCAAAGTGCTTCAGAGGTGGTCAAGCTAACTCCAGTCTTAGTTTCTGAAAAGAAATAAAACTACATCCTCATCAACCCCAGTCACTTCTAAGGTCTAAAATTTAAATTCACAAAAACATTACTTGCTTCTCACTTCTAACATAATCAGCAAGAATTCTAATTACTATATTTTTATCATACTCTGAACAAATAAAATTTAAACTAATCAACAACTTACCGACAATATGGATTTCTTCGAGAGGAGTATCGAAGAGTAAGGAACCTATAGTATATAAAAGGCTGGAGCAAACTTCCTTGACCACTGAAATAAACAAATAGAAGGTGATAAAGATACATTATCAATTCATATGCACACTGCCAAAACTTAAAGGCAATTCAACTGGAGGATATGTGTACCTTTATTCATCAAACGGTCACAGTAAACGCATACCTAAATCTGAGTTACTCTTAAAAGGGCAATAAAAGAATATACATGATTGGTAAAGTAAATTAAATTGCTACTGTTTACATTTTTATAAATGTACTCATGTATGTACTATTCTAAAGTTTTTTTCTCTCTTCACGTCAGACTGGTAATGTGCTGAGGTCAAACACAGTTTGAGGGATGGACATCTCAAACTTGAGCATGAAGACTCTAATACCCATGCTCATGAACTACAAAAGGATAAACCATGAAATTATAAAATACTAAATAAATCTGAAAATGTTACATAAATAATTCTGTAATTACCATAATTAATGAAATCAAGTTTTAAAGCTTCATATGATATTCAAATAAAAAGTGGCTTACTTTATATAAACAAACCTGAATAAAATGATACTGGCACAGTAGAAAATCTGCATAACCTATATTAATTACTGTTCTTGGTTAAAAAAAAGCACAAGTATAACATCCCAAAAGTTTTTTTTATATATGTGTGTGTGTGCATGTTATAAATAAATAAATAAAATATTTATATATATGTATTTTTTTTTTTTTTGCGCTTTTTGGCCGGGGTTGGGTTTGAACCTGCCACCTCTGGCATATGGGGCCAGTGCCCTACTACTTTGAGTCATAGGCGCCACCCAATATATATATTTTTTATAACACATGCACACATACATATTTATATACGTAAATATACATATATATAATATATATATATATTTTTATAATTCCAAGTTTAGAATTCTTCCCTGAGAAAAACTATCTGGATTAAGATATTCACTGAAGGCTCAATGAGTAGAGCACCAGCCACGTGCATTGTGGCTGGCAGGTTAGAGCCCGGCCCAGGCCTGCTAAACAACAATGACAACTGCAACCAAAAAATAGCCGGGCGTTGGGGCAGGAACCTGTAGTCCCATCTACTTGGGAGGCTGAGGCAAGAGAATTGCTTAGGCCCAGGAGTGTGAGGTTGCTGTGAGCTGTGACACCATAGTACTCTACTGAGGGTGACACAGTGACACTGTCTTTAAAAAAAAAAAATCTTATCTCAGCCACTTGAGGAGCCTGGGACTACAGGTGCCCACCACAACACCTGGCTAGTTTTTCTATTTTTAGTAGAGACGGGGGTCTCCCTTTGCTCAGGTTAGTCTCAGACTCCTGAGCTCAAGCGATGCACCTGCCTCAGTCTTCCAGAGTACTAAGATTATACGTGTGAGCCACAACGATCCAAACTATACATATTATTACAACTGTATTTTAAAATTAATTTTGGAGAAAATATATTAAGATGCTAAATGTGGTTTTTCGTTTTTTTCCCAGAGACAGAGT